GAGTTTTCCACGTGCAAAATCACATACAGACAGACATCTTCAAAAAGGCCTCCAGACAGGCCTGATACTGGTTATTGAAATGTCGTGTTTGGAATAATGACTATAAAGGAAGTATGTCTGCAATTCCTAAAGCAACTGGAAGATAAGCCTACTGTATATGTATTCATAACATATACAACCAACATACATACTTGTCACTTAAAAAATTATGAGACTAAAAATTAAAGCCCATATTTTTCCAGATCCTTTAATTGCTTCTATAGAATTCAACATACAGAATAGATCCTGTTTATAATCACAATGCCCCAAGCTTAAAAAAAAAAAAAAAAAAAAGGTAGAGGCTGTTATCCCCATTACACAGAAGAGTAAACTGAGTTGTAGAGGAAATAAAAGATGGAAGATCAGGAAGTGAAATATTTTGCCCCAAGATCACACACTATTCGCTGGTAGTGCCAGACCTCCCTGACCCTTCTTCGATCCAGTGTTCTTTCCATGATGCTGTGAGGTTTCCCCATAAACCACTACACTACTTACTAAACACCCCTGAGCTCCAAGGAGAAGAGAAAATGAAGTTCAAGATAAAGAAAGTAACTGAGCCCTTAGTAGAGGCATACAAGCCAACATCCCCTGTGCTCGCCAGAAAGACAGCAGGCACCATCCCTGCCCTCAAGAAATTTAGAATCAGAGAGTTAGTCATTAGGCAGATATTATTAGGCACCAACAATGTGGCAGGTTGTACTAGGTGCTTGGCATACAAAGATGAACCAGACACAATAAACACTTTTAAGAAACTTGACTATCTATAAGAGAAAAAAAAAAAATAGGGACACCTGGGTGGCTCAGTCAGTTAAGCATCTGCCTTCAGCTCAGGTCATCATCCCAGGGTCCTGGGATCAAGCCCCACACTGCTTGCTCTGTGGGGAGCCTGCTTCTCCCTCTCCCTCTGCTGCTCCCCCTACTCATGCTCTCTCTCAAATAAATAAAATCTTTTAAAAAAAGAGAAAAAAGAGAAAAAAAATAATTTAAAAATTATGTATATATATATATTTGAAAAATGTTAAAAGCAAACAAGAAAGACACTGTATACTGGGTCTATATACACCAAAATCATCTATCAATCCCATAAATTCAGCTTTTAAAATTGGTTTATTTGGGTTTTTAAATTAGGCAGTTTATTTGGCATCGTGCAATTGATGAAAAGCAGTAGCTTAATTTTTTTTACTTTTACTAGTTATCCTAATTTACTAGTAATCCTAGTAATATAATGTTATATTATGTGTTATTATATGTTATATCATATTATACTGTAATTGCAGTTATTCATTCAAGTTATAGCTTTCAGAGTTAAAATTATTTGTTCTGACAATAAGTGTCAGACATAGCAACAGCACATTAAACACAAAAAATGCTTACTAATGATAATGGTAATAACAGGGGAGCCAGCCAGCTAAGGCTAAACAGTGAACTCTTCCTGGAATTGGTGATTTTTAATCAGACTTAAGGTAAGAGACTTGTTTTGGTAAGGAAAAAGGGGAAACAATTACTACATACTACGCACTTCTCAAAAGTGTCATCACATGTGCTTTGTTTTGTTTACAGTAAGAATAAGACTGGAGGGAAAAATTGGTGCTCAGTGAAAAACTGCATTGTCTTTTTTACTGATATATAACATTCTATTATTTTCTGGTGTACAACATAATGATTCGATATATAATAATATATTGGGAAACAACAGCCACAATACATCTAATTAACATCTGCAACCATACATGGTTACAGAATTTTTTTGCTTGTGATGAGAACTTTTAAGACCTACTCTCTGAGCAACTTTCAAATATGCAAAACAGAATTAATAACGAGAGCGGCCATGCTATACATCAAATCTCCCGGACTTATTTATTTTATAACTGGAAGTTTGTATCTTTTGACTCTCTTCACTCATTTCACCCCCGCACACACACCTCCTGCCCCTGTGGCAACCACCAATCTATTCTCTGTACCTATCAGCTTGGTTTTTTGTTTTTTGTTTTTTTTTAGATTCCACACATAAGTGAGATCCTATGGTATCTGCCTTTCTCTGTCTGACTTATTTTACTTAGCGTAATGCCCACGAGGTCTATCCATGTTGTTGCTAAGGGCAAGATTTCATTCTTTTTGATGGCTGAATAATTGTATATACATCCCACTTTTTCTTTACCTACTCAGCCATTGATGGACACTTAGGTTGCTTCTTGATCAAACTGCACTGTCTTGTTGTTTTTTTTTAAGACTTTATTTATTTGTTTGACAGAGAGAGAGAGAGAGAACAAGAGCACAAGTTGGGGGAGCTGCAGGCAGAGGGAGAAGGAGGCTCCCGGTTGAGCAGGGAGCCCGATGCGGGACTCGATCCCAGGACCCTGGGATCATGACCTGAGCCAAAGGCAGAGGCTTAACCGACTGAGCCACCCAGGCGTCCCTCAAACTGCACTAGTTTTGTTTGTTTGTTTGTTTGTTTTTATTAACATATAATGTATTATTTGTTTCAGGGGTACAGGTCGGTGATTCATCAGTCTTACACAATTCACGGTGCTCACCATGGTACTACCCTCCCCAATGTCCATCACCCAGCCACCCCATCCCTCCCACCCCCCTCCACTTCAGCAACCCTCAGTTTGTTTTTCACAGTCCATCATCTCTCATGGTTCGTCTCCCCCTCCAACTTACTCCCCTTCATTCTTCCCCTCCTGCTATCTTCTTCTTTTTTTTTTCTTAACATATATTGCATTATTTGTTTCAGAAGTACAGACCTGTGATTCAACAGTCTTACACAATTCACAGCGCTCACCATAGCACATACCCTCCCCAATGTCCATCACCCAGCCACCCCATCCTTCCCACCCCCCTCCACTCCAGCAACCCTCAGTTTGTTTCCTTTAAGAGTCTCTTATGGTTTGTCTCCCTCTCTGGTTTCATCTTGTTTCATTTTTCCCTCCCTTCCCCTATGATCCTCTCTCGTTTCTCAAATTCCTCATATCAGTGAGATCATATGATACTTGTCTCTCTGATTGACTTATTTCACTTAGCATAACACCCTCTAGTTCCATCCACGTCATTGCAAATGGCAAGATTTTAATTTTTTGATGGCTGCATAATATTCCATTGTATATATATACCACATCTTCTTTATCCATTCATCTGTTGATGGACATCTAGGTTCTTCCCATAGTTTGGCTATTGTGGACATTGCTGCTATAAACATTGGGGTGCATGTGCCCCTTGGGATCACTACATTTGTATCTTTGGGGTAAATACCCAGTAGTGCAATTGCTGGGTCGTACGGTAGCTCTATTTGCAACATTTTGAGGAACCTCCCTACCTTTTTCCAGAGTGGCTGCACCAGCTTGCATTCCTACCAACAGTGTTGGAGGGTTCCCCTTTCTCCGCATCCTTGCCAACATCTGTTGTTTCCTGACTTGTTCATTTTAGCCATTCTGACTGGTGTGGGGTGGTATCTCATTGAGGTTTTGATTTGTGTTTCCCTTATGCTGAGTGACGTTGAGCACTTTTTCAAACTGCACTGTCTTAAAGAGACTCCTCCAGGTATCTGATTCCAATTCCAAGGGAGCTATTTTACCATTCTGTAATGACTTGTACATTACTGATAGCAACACACAATAATTCTTATCTATAGATGCACCAGTTTTGTCCTGTCCAGTGGAAAAGAAATGGATTTCCCTTCTCCCTTCTGGAAAAACCAATTTTGCCACCAGTTGCACATTTATTTCAATATTCTTGATCTAAAAATGGCCTGTTCTTTAGATTCTCTTTTGAACCAGCTGTGATTCCCTCCCTGGTTCCCTCACTGAGGAGTAGAATAAAATCTTTAATGGGTGATTATCTTGATATCTGTATAAAAGTCCTGACTTTACCTTATTTTGAAAGTTATCTTTTAAGAGCATGAAAGGGAGACAGGCAATATAAGAAGGTGGGAGAAACTCAGGGAAAGAGGAAGAGACAAAAGGAAAAAGATAAGGCAGCTTTCTTGTAAAGTCTGAGGGAATAAATTAGAAGTCAGTTCTCCTGAGGGAGTCAATCTGATACAAACTTTTCTTTTTTCACATCTGTTGTTCTCTTGAGTTGTGGCATTAGTGTGCGCTGGAAAAATATAATTAAGAGCAAAATCCCCCCATCCAGAAAATTTCTCCACAAAGGAAGAGAAAGAAAACTATTTTATACTGAATAAGCCTTAAACCAGAATGGGATGCACATCCCAAGCAATCCACTAAGAGATTGCAAAAATGGGAAGAAATTCCATCCCCTTAGATAGCCAAGCAGGTACAACCCATCACATACATGTTCTCCAGAAAAACAATAAGTAGTCCTCAATTAAGAGGATGTGATGGCACCCTCTATTACACATAGTTCATCCGAAGTTCACCTGGTAATTGGGGTGACCACCTGTTAGGTAATTGGTTTTGTACAAAGAAAAAATAAACTTCCATTTTTATGACAGGAAGTAGTTTTGCAACTGGTAGCTGAAGCTAAGCTCCTGTGGACCCGAAGACACTGGGAGATAGGGGCACTATTCCAAAGGGGGCCCCAGGTCCTTCAGAAAGACATACTTGGGTCATAAAGCTGGCCAAAAGTTTACTTCACTTTTTTTTAAAGATTTTATTTATTTATTTGACAGAGAGAGAGACAGCGAGAGAGGGAACACAAGCAGGGGGAGTGGGAGAGGGAGAAGCAGACTCCCCGCTGAGCAGGGAGCCCGATGTGGGGCTCGATCCCAGGACGCCGAGATCATGACCTGAGCTGAAGACAGACACTTAACCGACTGAGCCACCCAGGCGCCCTGGTTTACTTCACTTTTAAAACGATTTGCATATACTTTTAAAGAGACAAAGAAATAATTTACAAGTTTTCTAAAGTAAATGCTCTAAGAAAAGGGAGGGTGGACAATGTCTCTTCCCTTATTTATAACAGGGAGAAATAAGCCTCTGATTCTACATGTGGATTTGCCCTTACATGTGTAAATCGTGACTCAGTGTAACTGCAGTATTCAACTGCACGGTTGGAGGTGTGAACACTGCACTCCCCCAAAAATGTAATGCGCGGCCCCCAAAGGGCAAGTCCAGTTCAGTCTCCTCGAGACCCTCTGCCCGGCTTAAGTGTACAGGAAGCCTGTGTGCGTACAGTGTCGAGAGAGAGAGACAGAGACTCCAGCCCCCTTGCCATTTGTAGCTGGACGATGCCTCCGTCACCAACACATCCATTGTTCCTGGAAGGGTCACCATGGGAGCTAGTGTCACGGATGCCCTGAGGAAAGTCTGAAGGACTTTCGCTTGGCTGCTGCAGTCTAAACGAGAGAGTTCCTCGAGAAAGGACAAGCTCGTGCCTCGCTGTGCAGTTCCGTCAGCGGTTCTGAAGATGTCCGCTCCTTTGATGCACCTCCTTCCCAGGAGGCAAGTCGGCCCCAAGAAGACCGAATGAGGGGGCGCCTGCCGGGCTCCGTCGGTTGAGCGTCTGACTCCCGGTTTCCGCTGGAGTCATGATCTCGGAGTCTGGGATCCAGCGCCCCCGGCAGGCCCTGCCCTGAGCGCAGAATCTGCTTGAGGTTCTTTCCCCCCTCTCTCCCCACCCCTGCTCTGTCTCTCCGCCCCCCAAATAAATAAATAAAATCTTAAAAAAAATCGGGGCGCCTGGGTAGCTCAGTTGGTTAAGCGGCTGCCTTTGGCTCAGGTCATGATCCCAGGGTCCTGGGATCAAGCCCCATGTCGGGCGCCCTGCTCAGCGGGGAGTCTGCTTCTCCCTCTACCTCTGCTGCTCCCCCTCCTTGTGCTCACTCTGTCAAATAAATAAATAAAATCTCTAAAAAACGTATTTTAAAAAAATCTAAAGGAAAGAAGGGAAGAAAGAAAGAGAACAGAGTGAGGCCAGGCTCCAGCAGTAGGCACCTCACAAGCTGAGACGCGTGCCCTTCTGCCCACTTCACCAACACAGAGGCCAGTTCACTGGTCCCCTCTCCAGCCAGCCATGTGGTTGTGCTACAGCAGAGAACTGGAACTCCGGGCCTCCCCTGCCACCAAGTCTTGCACTGGGCCATGCAGTTTCTCTCCATGAATGTTAGAGAGAAAGACTTAAAGGAAGAGGTTCCTGAGTTCCTCGGATAGATTTTCTACAGAACCATGCACAGTATGAAACTGGAAAGGGGGATGGGAGGCGGGGAATACAGTTACTCTCTTTTCCCTGGACAACAGAGAAAAAAAGTCACAATTGTGTAGTCATGAAAGCCCAATCCAGTGGTTTCTTCGGGTTCTGCTGTAAGTGATTTGCAGCCTCCACTTACAAGTGGAGAAGTAGCATGATCTTAAAGTGTTGCCTTACCAGGCATGCAGCTACACTCAGAATTACCTGGCTTGGAACCAGAGAAATAACTTTTCAGTGTTCTCAGTACAAAAATTCAGGTTTGAAATTAAAGTTTACTTTTCCTCTGCAAGGAGGAAAAGAAATGGGGCAACTTCTAGAAAAAGACCTTGAAAGCCTGAGATGGGTAATCAGATGAGTAACTAGTCCTACTGACACACTGTCTACCCCTCACCCTTGCTTTCTTGAGAGCACAAGGCTGCTTCATTCCAAAATACCCCAAATTAGAATTAAAACAGCATTTAGTTGTTGTAAGGTTCTGAGTCCTTTTCTTAATCATCTTCCCTTGTTATTGGATGTTGCAATATTCCTAACAATTTCTACTCTTAAAGTATATAGGGGTGCCTGGGTGGCTCAGTCGTTAAGCGTCTGCCTTCGGCTCAGGTCATGATCCCAGGGTCCTGGGATCGAGCCCCACATCGGGTTCCCCGATCCTCGGGAAGCCTGCTTTTCCCTCTCCCGCCCCCCGGCTTGTGTTCCCTCTCTCGCTGTGTCTCTCTCTGTCAAATAAATAAATAAAATCTTTAAAAAAAAGTATATAAAGGAAAAGTTCAAACTAAAACGGATAAGTACTGTGATTCTTCAACTAGCTGCAGCCATGTGAATGCAGAGGACTATTGCCTTCACTTGCAGGTGCTAAATTGAGCAAGGGGTGTGGGGATTTCCACTCAGTTTCACAGGAAATGACCTGAAGAGAAAGTTTTATTCGGATTAAGCCGCTCCACTGCCCCTGTGACCCATCTTGGTTCACAAGTTTCATGGGGTCTGCTGACTCACTTCTCTATTTAAGATGTTTCTCACCCAGGAAACAACTTACGCCATCAGAATCCATTTCCACTTTGAATGATGCCAAAGTTACAAAGCAACAGCAGGAAAGCTTAATTCCTTATGTGTGAGTTACAACATGCATGCCAGCAAAGCAGAAACAAGTTTCACCTTTTACAGGAATCCTTTCCTTCTCTGGCATTATCGACCACAGTTCAGAAGTGAAGAGGGGACAGCTGACTGAGCCGACTGGGCTCCTCTGTTTGTCTGAGCCGTGGTGGGATTATCAGGGGTTGTGGAAATGGGCTTCAAGTTCAAGGATCAGATCTTTCCATTTGTCCAGTTATCCAGTAGAGATTAAGTTCTGGCTGTGCTCTTCAGACACTAATTTATAAACCAAAATGTCAATTTATTCAGTTTGTATACATTCACATACATGTGCACACACAGAACACAATAAAACTGGCAAAATTCTGGGGTCCGCTGGGCAATATATTCACTTCCGAGTTAAAAAAAAAAAAAATCTATTTACAAACCAAACCAGGGGCACCTGGGTGGCTCAGTCGGTTAAGGGTCTGCCTTCGGCTCAGGTCATGATCCCGGGGTCCTGGGACTGAGTCCTGTGTCAGGCTCCCTGCTCAGAGGGAAGTCTGCTTTTCCCTTTCCTTCTGCTCCCACCCCTGTTTGTGCTCTCTCTCGTGCATGCGTGCAGTCTCTATCAAATAAATAAATAAAATCTTAAAAAAAAATAAAATAAAATAATAAAAAATAAAAACCAAACCATTATAGGAAGTTTACTTTGAGTATCGTATGCTGTCTATTGTCTTATGCACCTCCTCACTGAGCTTATAAGTTCCTGGAGATCAGGAACCGTGTCTTTTTCATCTTTATATTTCCAGGGCCCAGCACAGTGCCTGGTACATAATAGACACTTAAATATTTTTTAATGTATGAGTAAATGAATAATATTGATGTATGTGAAATCTCTTTGCAAAGTGTAAGGTACTACATGAACAAAGAATTACAATTATGAATGAGGATTGGTATCCTTAAGCTACAACAGACAAACGTGCCCACCTTCACACAGGAGCAACGGAAGCATGAAAGCAGGCCCTGGGAAGCAAGTGAAGATGCACATGTATAAAAGCAAGATTAATGCTGGGGCGCTTGGGTGGCTCATTGGTTTGAGTGTCCAACTCTTGGTTTCAGAGTTGATCTTGGGGTGGTAGGATCGAATCTTGGGATTCTCTTCCTTCCCTCTTCCTCTGCCCCTCCCTCACTCTTTCTCTCTCAAATAAAAATAAATAAACCTTAAGAAAAAAAAGCTAGGTTAATGTCATGTCAATTAATGTTTTAGATAACATTTTAAGAGATATAAAGTACAGAAAATGAGGTTCTAGAGCATTTTAGGTGACCAAAATATAAAAATGAACTGATGTGAAAAGAGAGAAGGGGAACCCCAAAACTAAAGCTTAATATCTCTGTACCATGTGTTCACCAACTTAGAAACTCAGGTTCTGTACCTAATAAAAAATTGGGCAATGTCTCCATAGGAGACTGAAAATTTTTGTTTGCATTTCTTTTGCCTTGGGGGTAGGGATAAGGAAAAACAAAAACGTGGGTCAGTCAATGAAAAATTTTCCAGAGAATATTGTCAGGATCATCTTAGCTTAGAAAAAAACAGAGATCATATTGATTGTGTTTAGGTGAGATGTTGAGTATATTTGGGTTAAAATGGACACTGAGGGGAAGATAATGTGTAGTGGTTAGACCCTGATCTGGCCAGAAGAATATTTTGATTTTCTTAACCTATTACTTAAAACAAAGAAGCTAAAAAAAAAAATTATCGAATTCCCCAGGCGGCTAAGTCACAGGAAGAAACATACCATGATAAATAAGTCCCTAATTCTGTTATCACAGCTTTGAGGGAGAGGAGCCAGTGATAGTCACAGTTTGGGGATGGGGAGAAGGCGTCCTGGCCACCAACACAGTTGAGTCATGGTTCAGGAGGCACCATTAATTCGCTGTCAGCCATTAGTCACATCCATCTGCTTTAGGGGAAGAATATTCAGACCTGAAGCAGGACAACTGGTGGGTAATAGATAGTGTCACTTCTTTATTCACAGCATCCTGATTTCCTTTTAAGTATATGGTATTAGGGCCACCTGAGAGGCTCAGACAAGCATCCAACTCTTGATTTCAGCTCGGGCATGATCTTAGGGTTGTGAGATCGAGCCCCGTCAGGCTCTGAGCTGGGCGTGGAGCCTGCTTGATTCTCTCTCCCTCTCTCTCTCTGTCTCTCTCCCTCCCCCCGCATTCATGCTCCCTCTCTTAAAAATATAAACAACTTGGTATTGGTAAAATACTGAGATAGGCCAGGAAAGATTTAGATAAACTAATCCTGACATCCTTTAGCAACAAAATCCCTTTCTTCCCACTAGAAGGAAGTTCTTGCTTCTGGTCCAGTCTCCCTCCCCTAAAAGTCGCTCCTCCCCCAACCCCCAAAAAATCATACCTGTAACTATTTTTGTTTTTTGTTTTGTTTTGTTTGCCTTTAAATCACATGAATCTCAAAAAACAAACAAACAAACAAAAACCAACTGGGCAGAAAGTTTGGGGAAACTAGTCCTTGAGTATAGCCCTGGTGTGATTTATTTATTTTTTTTTAAGTTTTTTTAATTTATTCATTCGAGACACAGAGATACAGAGAGAGAGAGGGAATATGAACAGGGGGAGAAGCAGGCCCCCCACCGAGCAGGGAGCCCAATGCGGGGCTCGATCCCAGGACCCTGGGATCATGACCTGAGCTGAAGGTAGACGCTTAACCATCTGAGCCACCCAGGCGCCCCAGCCCTGGTGTGATTTAAAGTTAGGGGAGGAAGCAGGGAAAATCTTACTAGGACAGCATATTTTTAAAAATCACAAGTCCTCATGTCTTTGATTAGCTGAGACTCACAGACAACCAGGCCACAGCAGTAAGAGGGGGATGAAGTAACAGAGGCACAAGTGTGAGGAACTGGGAATGAGGCCCGGACGTACCAGCCTGCCCCCCAGATAACACATTTTAAGGGAGGGTTCAACCACCATGCCATTGGACAGAAATCAGAACCACAGGAAATCCTCACTCACTCTGCCTGGTAACAAGCACTAAAAAAAATCTAAATCTAAATAGATACCACTCTGTTCAAAGTTGAGAACAGAGGGAAAAAAGTCAGCATGGAGACTACTGAAAAAAAAAGAAAAAAAAAACACACCAAAAACAA